GGAGTTTGTAAGACGCTCTGAGACACCTTTGGGTACTGAAGAGTGGGGTATAAATCCAATCTCCCCCTCCTCATAATTTTTTAATTGCCTAAAGGGTACAGAGTAAAAGGGAGGGAAGGCTGAAACCTCTTCCCGCCATGCCGGTCTGCAGAGCAGCATGGGGCAGAAAGTATTTTTCAAGGTGAGTCCACAGTTGTATCTGATCTGTGACACAGATTAGAATTTTTCTTGTAATGAGACTAGGGATGCCCGCCTCCAGGTGGCACCTGGGGATCCCCTGCTATTATAGCTGTTCTCCAGATTACAGAGATAATTTCCCCTGGAGAAAATGGATGCTCTGGAGGGTGGACTCTATGGTATTGTACCCCAGTGAGGTCCCTGTCCTCTCCAGGCTCCATCCCCAAATCTCCAGGAGTTTCCCAACCTGGCTCTGGAAGCCTTATTCCCCCCATCCCTTGCTGGTGGCCATAGGGGACCTAGCAACCCTAAATGAGACCCCTTATGAGAAAGGTGGACTAGAAATAAATAAATAGTTGTGGTTAAAACAGACCATATTGTTCTTATTAATTACAGTTAAAGTGCTCTGTCTTGCTTGTAAGAGTATTGAGATGTTGCTTGTGTTTCTGTGGCAATCTCCCCTGTTCAAAACGCCCCCCCCCCACTCCACGGCTAACCTTGAGCTGGAAAAAAAATACAGATCTATATGTATTTATGCTAAAGGTGTAGCCTCTGGGATTGTGTTGATTTGGTTTTCAGGAAGAATTTTAAATGGAATAGCTGCTGGGACATCTCAGTAGGTTATTATTATTATTTTTTTAAAAAAATATGATGCAGCAATTTATGCTTTACTGCTGGAGGTCTGTTTCACTTTTCAGTGACGTTTCATAGCCAGTGGCTTCATAAGACCATCCATTTCTGAGAAAGCAACTCTGTTCTCTAGTAAAAATGATAAATAAACATTCCTATTTTCAAAATATTTTGAAATTATTATTGCCTAGACTAGATCATATAGGAAACATTTAAAAATTAATTTATAGAGATAGCATGAAATCCTTCTGTGGTCCACTGGGTCTCAGAATGCAGGTGTGTGTGCATTCATCCTTTTACTCTTCCCTGTTAACTTCTTATCGAGGACCACATCCTGCCTATGTTGTCCAGCCCACTGGTTAAGCTTCTCTTCTGAAGCCCTTCTCTCTGTGCCAGAGGTCAGGTGGGTGGCAGCCAGAGGTAGGGCATTTCCAGTGGTGCTACCTAACCTTTGGAAAGCCCTCGCACCTTGAGGCTCGCCTGGTGACTTCCTTACTTTTTGTTGGGCAGTAGACCAACACATTCCTTTTTACCCAGGCTTTTATGTAACTCCTTTAGCTGTTGTAGCAATATCTTTTGAGGCTGCGTAATGTGTGTTAGGTTAAGACGCTGAACTGCAGGCTGTGGAAGGCCAATAGTTCAGCAGTTCAAGACCCGGGAGCCGCAAAACGGAGTGAGCTCCCGTCTCTAGTTCCAGCTCCTGCCAACCTAGCAGTTCGAAAGCAAGAAATTGCAAGTAGATAAATAGGTACCACTTCGGTGGGAAGGTAACAGCGTTCCGTGCTCCTTGGTGTTTAGTCATGCCGGCCACATGACCACGGAAACGTCTTCGGACAGCGCTGGCTCTTCGGCTTGGAAACGGAGATGAGCACCGCAACCCTAGAGTCGGACTCGACTGGCTTTCGAGCAAGGGAACCTTTACCTTTTTAATGTGTGTTTTTCACTGTTTTTATGCCCTTGCTTGGTTTTAATGGCTTTGTTTTAATGGTTTCGTTTTATTGTTTGAGCTGTAAGCTGCCTAGAGCAGGTCTCTAGAGATGTGGCATTAAAAACTTTCCCAAATACACTAATAAATTATGAAGATTTCTGGGGGTCTGCTGAGCCTTGTGTTGCATCGTGACTGGCTAAGTACGCATATGCTGGGAAGCCCTGGTTGGAGCTAGGCCGGTCATTAGTAATCTGAAGCATTGTTGGAAATTTTTTACATGAATGGTTTATTTGCCTTGATGCATTTCTGTGATATTTTATTACTATTATTCAAATCCCGTAAAGTAGCTAATATATAATCTAATGGACCGCAAACAAAGATGAATAGTGCATTACCTGCAATTAGTTCATCCTTCAACTAGGACTTGAATGTAGGTCTCCTAGAGTCAAGCCTAATATGTTGTCTACTAGATTATGTCCATTATACCAGGCTTATCATATAACATTGCTTTCCAGGGTTACTAAACTATGAAGACCTCAGTAGCTTGGTATCTAAGGCAGAAGCAGATTCCGTTGCCGTGATTGTAAAGGATACAGTATTGAGATTTTCCTCCAGTGCTTTAGTGACTTTGACTGGTGGTTTCAGGGTAAGATTTTTTTTTGGGGGGGGGGGGGTAACACAAAGAAAATAAACCCATTTATTAAAAATATTTGTCACATTTATTATCATAAGGAATGCTTTGACTTCTTTTTTTACAGTAATGTTGATCTTTTAAAATCCTTAAAATGCTATAGCTCAGTTTACAAGAACATAATACTAGAACAAGGAATTTGTATGCATAATGGTATGCCAATAAATTTTTCATATCCTTGTGATGCTGCGCTGGACTTGATCCTAATTATATTGGGGTTTTTTGTCCTGTGTTCATAAGAGAATATACTTGCTTCTGTTGGCATAGACATGTTAAAGAAGAACAGAAATATGCAGAGAACACTGGTGGAGCATCTTGAAGGCCTTTTCATTTTTAGTTTTGAACGTAGTGTTACTTGGCTAGTCCACTGAGTGGGCACTTGACAGGGAGCCACTGGAAATTCAGCTCCTTAACATGTGTATCAGATTGAGACAGTGATACCTATGAGTTGCAGTCTTTGTTCATATTTTAAGGTTGTTAACAATGAGAAGGAGAATGGTGTGTAGCTCATCTGGACATAATTGCTTTAAGCTGGATTCATTAAGAATAGGTCCCCAAAGTATTGCCAATGAAAGCAGCTAAGGAATCTTCCAGAAATCTACTCTTCATCACTAGTGAAGGAAGAGTAGGACCTACCCTGGAGTAGCTTACAAAACTTCATTTGGATGATGGACAGCCATAAAATGCATGAACATGAACAGAGGTCATTTCATAGAAAAAGAGGTGCAGGAGCTCATTAGCATAATTTATTTGCATATGCCACACCTCCTGACATCACCGGAAGTGTGTCAGAAGGCAACACCCACCGCTCAGGCTTCACTGGACTGTTTTGGATTGCTAGCTATTGGGGGGGGGAGAGGAAGGTGCGGATCTGTCCTCGCAGAGGAGGGAGAGCTTTTACCTGAATAAAGCTTGGTCTTAAAGGTGCCACTGGACTGTTTTGGACTGGGGGGCCGGGGGGAGCTCTGCAACTTACCAGGCTGCTTCTTGCTCTGAGGGCTGCTGGGAGCAGGGGGTGTGGTTTGTTGCATGTGCCCATCCCCTGGGCTCTTTACTGCTGGAGCTCCGCTCCTGTGTGCTCCTGCAGGAAATGACCCCTGAGCATGAAAGATAAAAACAAAAGTTTTGCTTCCCTCCCTCCCTCTCTCTCACACACAATCTATGCAGGAGGAGGGTCACCAATCCTCAGCGTTTTCCCACAGCAACTACTAAATTTCAAAATCCTAATTTGGGTTGTCTTGTCTTGATACTAACTATACCTGTTATAGTTTTCTTTCTATTACTGGAGCCATTTCCCTGTGACATAGAGACCTAGTCATTGATACCAGAAAGCTAGACACTAAGCCAGCTTGGTGTAGTGGTTAAGAGCAGTGGACTCAAATCTGGAGAACTGGGTTTGATTTCCCACTCTTCCACACAAAGCCTGCAGGGTAACTTTGGGTCAGTCACAGTTCTCTCAGAAGTCTCTCAGCCTCATAGGGTGTCTGTTGTGGGGAGAGGAAAGGAAGATACTTGTAAGCCACTCCAAGACTCTTTCGGGTAGTGAAAGTTGTGAAAGTTGGGATATAAAACCAACTCTCCTCCCCTTCTTCTGCATTTCCATCTTTCTGATAAGACAATAAATTTCTGCCTGTACAACTTTGGAATTTCTTCTCTCTCAGGGATAGGTCTATTACTCCTTCCTTATCTTTTCTTTAGGCTTATAGTTCCTAGGATTGCTCTTTGTTTTTCAGGTTCTTCTGTATTGCTTACTTGATGATAAGGATGGTAATATCTGTTTACCTCCTTGATAATCTCAAAACTGGACCAATCCTGATTTGAGGTTGTGACTGACTGCACTTAGAAATGTTGTATAAACAGATGTAGGACTATGAAAGTTTAATTCTCCACAGAAACAGGGAGACTTGAGTGACAGGCTGCTCCAAGGAATCTGATTGGTTAGCTAGCATCAGCTGAGCAGAGAAAGGCTTGAGAGCTGAATTCAGTCTGATTTCAGCCCTGGCCAAGAAGAATCAAGTTCTGACAGTATCTGAATTCAGCCCTGACTGAGAGCAGTTTAACACAGATGGAGTACTGGGGAGGTTGGCAAGGAAGAGTGGGTAGTTAGGCAAAGACTCCCATTTGGGCCAAGGAAAGGGGATAGATATCCTAGTGCAGGGTGTCCAACATGTGGCCTGGGGGCCGGATCAGGCCCCTGGAGGGCTTCTATCAGGCCCGCGGTGGGACTGGCTGTCTTCTGCTTCTTTTTCCAGTTCTGCTGCTGCTGCGTCATCATAGGTTTGAAGCTTATAGATACACACCTGAACAGCATACTCAAGATTGCAACAGCACAGACATGTTGATGCAATAATTCAGAGCAAGAGTCAGTTACCAGACACTGTTAAATAAACAAAATATTGCAAAAGTGCTAATGTTTTAAGAATTTTTGTATTTTAAGTTAAAAAAAACCCTTTGTGTTTGTGTCCTTTATAAAGTTTATATCTCTGCTACCTGGCATTACATTTTATGACACACATGGCCCAGCCCATAAGGTCTCATTTATGTCAGCTCTGGCCCTCGTAACAAATTAGTTCGACACCCCTGTCCTAGTGAGAGAAAAGTTTCCCTACCCAGTCAAAACAGGGAGATAGCTCTGAAAAGTGGAGAGATCCCTGGTCTGGTAGGTTGGAGACTGCCTTGTGAAATCTTAAGAGTCAGTTAAAACTCAAGAAGAGTACTGATGTGTTTATGGAAACCAAAAGAGTCAGTGAATACTCAAAGGAAGTGTACTGGAGTGTTTGGGAAACACTGGAACAAAAGCCTCTCATCATAAAGATTTTAAGTCACTGTGAATTTTATTTATTTATTTTATTTATTTTTTATCCCACCCTCCCGGCCTAGGCTGGCTCAGGGTGGCTTACAGCAGAATAAAAGTTCTAATAATACAGAAAACAGAATTCATTACTTAATACAATTTCTAATAGATAATACAATAATATAAAAACATTGTTATAATCAAACATAATATTAAAGTGCTAGCAATTCCACAGTTTTTACTTTAGTTCTATAGATCTGCTTCAGTTAGGAGGGGCTAGGTCGGGCCGTAGTCACAGGGGCCAACAGATCAGGGCTTCTACCATAGTTGTCAGTTGTTATTAATAGTAGGACTGGTAGTTGTGATGGTAGTAGTGGCGGCGGCGGCAGCTCTAAAGGCCTGGCGGAAGAGCTTAAGAAACTCTCATTGGCCTGAAACATATGAACTGTAGTTTGTGCATCTACTGATTTTACCTCAGAGTTATTTATTTGAGTTACCTGAGAAATTTTACCCCCGATTTCACCTGACCTTTCCCCCTCTATGTTGAATAAAATATTTTGTTCTCCCAAAAGCCTCAAGTGCCATTTCAGTTATTTAAGTTAAAGGGGACTCTCAACCCTTCCCTCAGGTTCCTGGGCTGAGCCAGCAGTAAAATATCATACCATGACAGGGTGGGACAGCCAGAGTTCTTCAGTCACAAAAGGAAAGAAAAACAGAGGGAAAATTTTGCCTCTGAGAGAGAGAAGTGGACAGGTGCGTCATTCATTTCGGTCATTATAATGACACAAATGTGTGGAGTAGTGTTTGCTAGTTGTCTTAGAAATACGGAGTGTCTTCATATGTGTGTGTGTTGAGTCCCCTCCCCTTCCTTCTTTTGATATAGAGGGAAGCATGTGTTACTCATTTAATTTTGGTCCGGAGGTTCTGATACCAACAAAATGTGACAACACAAGCTAAAATAGTTCTCAACAATCTGTTCAGCTCATGTGGTATGTTTATTTGTCTTGTTAAATGTGCCTTGAGATGTTACCTATCCAGCTCTTTGATTTGCAAAGAATTGAGATAAGCATTTTTTTTTTACCAGACATACAAGTAAGTATTTGGAACTTACAATTCGCTGATAGTGACCTGTGATCACACTTTCACTGCAGCAGAAATGTAATGTTTGCTGCAAGTCATACTGTATAGGAAATCATGCTATGTGGCATGTCAAATATTAACTAACTGTGTTTTGTTGATATTGAGGTTTGGCTCAGTCTTCTGGTCTAAAAAAAATCAAACTAGACATGAGTTAGTCATAGGACCATGCAGGGAGATCCCCCCCCCCCAAGTGCACATCCCTATTCATGCTGCTGTTAGCTGTGATAGGGGAAAGGAAAGCAAATAGTAACTTTTTTTGGGGGGGGGAGATTTACCTCAAGAAAATGCTACAAGAAAGGGCAAAGCCATCCTTTATTACCTTTTCCCTTATCCAGTCTCACTGCTCCTATTTGCAGAAACAAGAGAGACATGAGATCTGATCATGGATCTCCAAAATATCTCCTAATTTGGTTTTCATGAAAGCTGTATTTGTCTTCAGGTTCTTGGTGAAGTGCTTGGTTGGAATGTAGAAATGTAAGAATGTGGAAATCATTGGATCTGTTAATAACCGTGATAAATTTGCTGTTTAATCTTAGATCAGCTCTTATTTTAGCAAAGAAAAAATTGCAAGTGGATGTTAAAAACAGGTCCTCATGATACTAAGTGCTTCCGCTTAACTGGTTGTGCATTATGACCTTTGGGAACATAAACAGATTCACCATACATGTATAGAAGAATTTAGTACTACTGTTCTAAAACTATATTTGGACATAGTTTGAAGACACATGAGCAAGCAACCTATTAAGTATTTGTACTCTGCTTTTCTCTCAGAAGGTACCCAAAGTGTCTTACAACCCCTCCCTCTCCAAAGAAAAGAATAAAGGTGTCTATATTCACTGAAACTAATAAACAAAAAAATGAAGAAACTAAGCAGGTAGGGATGCCAGTCCCCAGATAGGGGTGGGATATCTCTCAATTTGGTGGGCTCCTGCCCGCCGCCAGCCAGCTGGCTGGTGGGGAAGCCCTACCCATAAGCCCCACTCCCAACAGTGGCCACCTCTCTCCCTCCCCTCCTGTGAGATTTAAAGGGCCATCCAGCAGACTGGCAGGAGCACATGGCCTGCTGACCAGCTAGAGGGGCCTTTAAATCTTGCAGGAGGGGAGGTAGAGGGGTGGCCATTGGCCACACACCTGAACTCCAGATGATGAATTCACTGCTTGGAGTTCAGCCCCCCCCTTCTTGCCCAAAGCGTTTAAAGGAACCCTTTAAATGCTTTGGGCAAGAAGCAGGAGGGTACTAGTCCCCAATGTGATGATATCTCTTTGGTGTGATGTCATCACATTGAGGATGTTCCCTCCCCCTCCAGAAACACCCCCCAAAGTCCCCCACTGGGGACTAAGAAGGACCCTGGCAACCCTGAAAGCAGGTCCAATAATGCCTACCTGAGAGATTGGGAATCGCTTACTTTAGCTTTGGGTTTCATGGAAGAAAGATAGGGAATAAATGCCTTTGAGCAATTACACTTGTAGCTGGGTGATATTTGAGACACAAATTGCAGAGCACCAAGTGCCATGTAAATTTAGAACAGCTGTGATAAAAGATTAAATATATCTCCTTCTTTGTCACCCACACTGTCTACGTTTACTTAGTGGAGCTGTTGACTGAAGACATGAAGCACATCAGAAAATATGTCGCAAGCAACGAACTAAGAATTAGTACAATTGCATTATCACCACAGATTATTACATATGGTGCAATAATGCATTATGACAGCTATGACAAAACTTATTTTAAAAACTTTGTAGTGTCAGTATATAGAGCCGGTTTC